ATCTCCCTATGCGTAAAGCTTTGGAGAAAGAGCTGAAATTGATCCAGCAAAGTTTCAAAACATACTCTACTATATACAGAGCCACAAACCAGACACCGAGCTCTGCAATAATACCAGGTCTATCTTCAGTACATCAACCTGGCTCCTGATTAAACTACAAGGGTGCTAAACACAAATCACAGGGTACATGGACTCTTACCACTATTAGTGGACTGTGCATCTAGGTAACAAGAATTCTTTCCAAGACATCAAGACTGGAGAGTATTTTAAGATCTTTTTACTTGTTTTACCATTTAGCTCTCAGCTGGATTCAGATTTTCTGTACACCACACAAGATCTGCAGAGACTCACTACATAGTTATCCTGCGACTTTCAAAAGCATTAATACTTAGGAGTCTGAATCTTTAATTTCCAAACAAATTTCTGGTATCTTCACATCACACAAAGGGAATGTATGCTTCTAAGACTATGCACTTGTGACACAGCCCTAGCACCCCAACCAGAAATTTTATTGCTGAATCACGCGCTGCATCAACAATGGGGCAGAAAAGGTTTTTGGAGCTTTGCTACATCAAAATTATATTATTTAATCTGCCAAATGACACATCTGCAGCAGTGTGCTGCACCATGCTCCTGCGTCAGTCTGGCACCTATTCCATTCATATCAGCGCCTGCTACAGACTTGTCTGAAACTTCTTAGATAATAGCTTATAAAAATGTTATTCTAAGCTTGAGATGTGCACCACTTCCTGCACACAACAGTGCTAATTACACATGCCACTTGAGAACTTCTACTTTTCTGCTTGTTAAAAATGTTCAAATGTATCCTAGTAAAACAGTCATTTGACAAAGAAGGAAAGCGAAACAAGAAGCAATGCAAAATACATACACCTAGATGAAATATGCCTGGATATTGATGGAAGCTTTACTTTGCTACAATGCGAAGTTCAAAGAAGTCATCTTAATACAAGATCATTCAGACCTATCTGTTATAAAGTATCCCATTAGGAGCAGATACTCCATGGATAAAGGTAGCTTGTGGTTTTTTTAAAGAACCTTAGATACATATTAGTTTTGCTTGTCATGCAGACCTGCTCTCTGGGAGGTTACTGTGACCCATTCATATCGATCTGCACACAGATAAGAGTGAAATGCTGACATTTTCTAAGTGCTTTTATGTTTTCACAGACAATATTTTTCATAGGAACTAGAATAAACTGGTTTGGTTAAATTTCCTCCTATTTTATCAGTTCAAAAGAGAGATTCATCCCTGCTGGAAGGGCTTTCTTTATACATCAGGAGACCTGTGATTTAATCCTTTAGCAAGAACACTAAAAAATTATTCATATGTGGCATGCTCACTGCCTGATGCCTGATAAACAGAAAGAGTAACTGACTTTTAAAGAAGCTAAACACACAAATGTAAGCTCAAAATGCATATAAAACTGTTCCTTCCTTATTCTGACTACACATGCAGCTGGCACAACTGTGCTCACATTCCCCACCTACTGCAGGTACTTGCTAATGTCCATACATGCACATGGCAGATAATACAGTCACGTTCAGCTTCCTAATGTGTTTGCAGACCAGTCTCATGGGCATTTTATATATGCATTTGGATGGATACAGTATCTGCTCCAAAATGTTTAAAATGTAAAAATACCATATGAAAATAATTTTGGAGTATCTCTTAGCATTCCTGGTATATAAAAATACACACTTCTTCCAGATATAAAGGCTTATCCTTCCACTCATGTTAACATTTGGAAAAACCTCACTTGAAGATACCTTCTGCAAAAACACAGCCACAAGCTGTACTAGAAATAAAGATTTGTCACTAGGAGAAAATATCTAATAATGAAGTTACTGAAGCACTGGAATAGAACGAGAATATTTAGGTTCATCTGAATGCTTTCACTCCCTGCTACAAAACATTTTGTGCCCTTAGTATGCTTCTCCCCAACTGATTTCTCAGTGGTGCTCACACAAATTGGAAGAGATACCCCTGTAGATATCATAATGGAAGATCAATGCTGTAAGGTGCTGAGAATGGAAGATGTGCCTGAGAGAAGGTAACAAGAACCAAAGAGTGGAAATAGATTAACCCTACCTTTTTCTTGAACTCCTTGATACATCCTGTACTCTGTTCCCAGAAACTCTCTCTCTATATTCTCCTCCCTTCCACCCTGAATATATTCTGCAGAGCTCAGCTTGAGAATCTCAGAGACAAAGTTTTGGCAGAAACATCCCTGTATCTGATACCTAATGTTACCTCTTAAGATCTGTTCCAACAAAACTCTAATACTATTCTTCTTTCATGAAATATAAAGCCAAAAAGTGTATAGAATACATTGGAAAATTCACAAGCTGCAAGTTTTAACCCAACCCTAGTTTTCACTCGATACATGAAGAAGCACAATTTGGGAAGACACTATCATAATTCTGCAATAAAAATGACATCTGGATTATTTACACCTCTAAGTAAGAACAGAAGTGGATTTGTCTGCTGCTAGACAGACCCTAGGCAGAATATACATCAACAGTTTAATTTTATAACAGCTCTTCAATCTCACTTTTACACAGAATCATTTAGAAAAGACCTTTAAGATCATCAAGTCCAACTGTTAGTCTGCCACTGCCAAGACCCCCCTAAACCATATCCCTAAGTGCCACATGTACACACCTTTTAAATACCTATGGAGCAGTGACTCCACCACTTCCCTGGGCAGCCTAACCCAAACACTATTGCTAATACAGGCCGGGATGCTCTTGGCCTTCTTGGCTTGCTGGGCACAAGCTGGCTCATGTCCAGCCGCTGTTGACCAACACCCCCCAGGTCCTTTTCTGTTGGGCAACTTTCCAGCCACTCTTCCCAAGCCTGGAGCATTGCATAGGGTTTTTGTGACCCAGGTACAGGATCCAACACTAAACCTTGTTGAACCTCATACCATTGGCCTCAGCCCATTGATCCAGCCTGTCCAGATCCCTCTGTAGAGCTTTCTTATTCTCCAGCAGACCAACTCTCCCACCCAGCTTGGTGGTGTCTGCAAAGGGGATTTCAGACAATTTGGAGTACTGCACAGTCAGCAAAGCTTGGTTTTGGTTTGGGATTTTTTTAGGGTTTTAAAATAGTAACAAAGACCTGAAAATTCAGTTTCAGGTTTATACATTTCAGAAGCATCTTTCAGGCTTTGTAGAATCAGATAACCAGCAAACAGTAAAGACAAAGCTATTCTCTAATTTATACCAGCTATTGTTTCATCTACCTGCTGATATCGGAGAGAATACTGGCCTCTGGATACCCGCCAGCAATTCTCCACCACCACAATTATGGATTGTGCAATTTCATTGTCATTTGAGAAACCAGTGTATACTTCCAAGAAGATTTCAGAAGAGTCAACGTAGGTTAAAACATTCCCTCCCCAATCCCACCACCCTGTCCATTCTCCACCCCAACACCTCCTCCTGCACACGCACAACTTCTCTCTTCTGTTTATTTTTTGTTTTAAACACTCTAAGCAAGAATTGACTTTGGCTGCTCTTCCTAAACCCTGAAGTGTTTGAGCAGATAAGATTTAGATAATACGTTGGAAGAAAGTTTCATAGGTCCCTTTTCTCCTGGCAGGTAGACCAGCTCTGCAGTGAGGTTTCTTTCCCCTGCAGCCCTGTTTTTCTGGCCTGTCAGCTTCTCAGAGTAGGCCAGATTTGAAATTTTAACTGTATCTGAATGGTAAAAAATGCTTCAGCTGAAAGTTACTTCCTTATATACAGTGCTGGGGAAATACAATGTGTCAATCTACTTGCCCTCATCCCAAATGTGGTGGTAGTTTCTTAAGCAGCTTTATTGAGCCCTTCTTGGACTAACTGAAATGGAGCTCATCTGAGCTCCTCTTCCTGTGTGGAAAATAAATTAAGAGTGATAAAACTCCCACATTACAAAAGAAGTAAGATATGCCTCCAGAACAATAACTGGTTTTAGAGGACAATATGAAAATAGTTCCACTTGTTTCAATGAAATACTGGTAAAAATGGATGCACTCTACCACTATTTTTTACACTTAGAGGCTTATCTGAAACTAGAAGGCTCTCATTTTACTCCTAGGTAAAAAGAATGTCACGGCACTCTTTCCACAGCCATTTTCTGTCACTACAGGGCCCACATTAAGCCTGTGTGCCATCAGGAGATAGCATATGGAAGTAGCTTCAAACACAATCATTTAAAACATTACTTTAAAACACAGTTTACTGTGAATCACTCAAATTATAGATTTAATTGTGGTGTCCCAAGGTGAAGTCTTTAGTGGCAATACTGGCTTATAGTATTGATATTTGTCTCCTGTAATCATCCTGCCTCAACATCAGTGTATTCTGTTGTTCTAGAACAATTGTTTATGTAGCCATGTGGTTCACTGCACTGGAGACCTAATCTTGCTTAAAACTAATCCAGACAAAAAAAGTAATTTGGTTGGGTTTTGTTTCTTTTATTTTATTTTATTTGAAGTATATGTGCTCCCAGCTCCATTTCCAAGTGCAGCTGCATAAATAGTTGGGCTGGCACAAATGAAGGGGTGGTGTACCACAGAAACCAGCAGCAGGTGGCAAAGGAGGTAGGGCTAAGTCAGTATTGCTGCCAAACACTTCAACTTGGATACACAGCCTCAAGTCTAGTCAGCAGTTCATTTAGCCTCACACCAAGTGAACTGGCAGCAAGGAACACAGGACTGTAAAACCATACAGGAAACTAAGACAAATTTGCCACTGGTTTGCTTGCACTGAATGCCACACTATGGCCATAGTGATAGCAATGATGTAACTGCCTCAGCATTAAAGTAATGGTGTATCATTAACTCAAATTTAAGCTAATGCTTCCTTGCATATGTAAAAACAGCAGCCACAACTCTGAATGAACTGCAGACACCCCCTTGAACACTGTGTCTTCAACTTGAGGTGAAAAATATTTATGCTTGAAAGCCTACAGGTCTGCAGACTTTAGCACTCACCCATTCTGCCACCCTCAGATACACAGGCGATGGTGATTCCAAACTCTGATATGCCACATCTGCTGTAAGGAAAAAGGATTATTTAAAGAAAGGGCTGCTGAAAACATTCATCATATAAATCATTGCATAAAGCATAGAACAGTGAGTGAAAGCCTTGGGGTAAAGTAACCTCTAATCACAAAACATACCCATACATCTTTTATGACAGTAGGGAGCACACAGTACCTGAGTCCCATGTGACAGAATCAACTGCATTTTGAAATCTCTATTTAGAAAACTAAGCAACCTAGCAAGATTTCAACATAGACTTCCTAAAATCTAATGCTGCAAAACTAAAGCCAGCTCTGCAAGTGCGATTTTATGTTATTAATATCATGTTAGCCATTAAAAGGTCTTTTGAGTAACTGTTTCCCTATTAGTTGCTGCTTGACCTAAAATTCTTATGAATAAAATTATTACTGCTGTGATTACTATGAGCAGTAAGGTCTATACTGCCATCCAATGGTAACATGAGTTTTAGCATCTATGAGTTACAAATTTCTACTTCTAGCTGCTTCTGCCACAGCATGACATCAACCTTAAACGCATCTTGCAGAACCCATGAAGGCTTAAAAATATCAGAATCAGCAAAAGGTTTACATGCATGAACATACAGGGTACACTTCCCCATAGGCACAGTTTGTCACACCATCACTGATAGCTGAAACTTCGAAGTACAGGTAACAGGTAGATATATCCCTTCTTTCCTTTCCACACAGAATTCTGACAGATTATTTCTTCAGGTTAATTTAGTGCAAACTGATGTACTTACTAAAAAAGTTATTCTTACTCTCTTTTAACAGAGGCAGTAACGAGAGGTGTTGGTATCCCAGTCCTTCTAACAGCATTCTGGTTATCCCTTCCCAGAGGAAGACTTTTATTTCCTAAGAGCTAGAGAATGAGCCTGACAGGTAACATAGAACTCTGCTATGAAGTCATGTATCTTGCACCCCATATAACAGATTTAGTATATTTGCAACCTGCTTCATCATGTTGCTTTGAACTATGGAAAGTGAAGAGAGAAGATCTGAAATGCAGTTCGAATTTGGATGAGTACCTGCCTTTTTCTTTCTTTTTTTTTTTGTGAAGTGGAATAAGTTACAAGATCCAACCCTTTTAGATTCTCCTTTTCAAGTGCCAGGTTCTAATGGATCATTTACTGACTAAAAACTCTGAATCAGTGTATATTGGGATGAAAACCAACATGCCTCAAGTTACACAGGTTGGAATTATTTGGGGGGAGGGACTGCCTTCCTCTCTAAAGTGCGAGAAGGGCTGCATTCTGTGATCACAGAATGTTTTCAGTCACCTAATCCTCCACCATTTTAAGGATTGAAGGCACCAGTAAGGCTTTTAATCTCTTCTGCTTTTCCCCCGCAATGCTTTGCAGATTTTGCAACTTTTAGTATTTTGTAAGGTAGATTATAAATTTCATACAGGCTGTTAGGAAATGCTCTGCTGCTCTGGATCTTTGTGGAGAGTGCAATCTGAGGGCTAACTAGCTTTTAAATGGTTGCACACATTTGTAGGGCACAGGTCTCTATGATCCAGGTGGCTCTTTTCAGACCATATTTGTGACTGGCTGAATATTTAAGACCTTTGATTCTACTGGGATAGGCATCCAAAATTGTGGAGCTTGTCGAGTCCAATTCAGCATTAGGATAAACAGTTATTGCCCCCTTTGGCTTCAACTGAACTTATAAATCCAGATATTAATTTACCCTCTTTACACTGCAAGCCAGGACTGGAAATCTTATGGAAATGAACCTTCTTCTAGAAATTCAAATCCAGACATTCCTATTACCAATCCAATTCTGTTCAAATCATCACTAGATTGTGTTATAAAATTATTTGGTTTTTATTTGTACTGCTTCCTACCAAGAAGAAAATAGTTCAGAAGTCACTGAAATGAATCTTTCAAAACAAGGCAAATCATGCAAGGGGCAATTTTCCTTGCTGGAGCATTTTAGACTAAAACATTTTGCAAGTGCAAAAGTGCATCTTCACAATGAGTAATGGCAAAGAACAGTGTAAAAAGTTAAATGACTCAACTCTTAACAGCCCTCCATCGACACCCTGGTGAAGTTTTCGAAAATACACTAACAGTTTCAGACCCTATACGGGAGAAAGCAGAACTTTACTTATTACTTGATTAAATGGGTCAAGGATGGTCTTTTCATATGTCGTGGGTTCAGCAGTAGCAGTCATGTTTCTCCTCCTTGGTAGCTGGTGCAGTGCAGTGTTTTGACTTTCATCTCAGGAACAGAGCTGATAGCGATGTTTTGGTTTGGCCAAGGACTTTGTGAGCCTCATGCTCTGCCAGGGAGGAGGGGAAACCAGGAGGAAGCAGAGACAGGACACCTGACCCAAACTGACCAAAGAGGTATTCCATACCACAGCACGTCATGCCCAGGATGTAACTGGGAGTTAGCCGGAAGTGCTGGGAGACTGCAGGGTTGGAGGAAGTATCGGTCGGAGCTTGGTCGGGCTTGGGGGGCGAGTTATCGGTCAGCTGGTGCTGAGGTGTTGTATTCTCTTCCCATGTTATTTCCTTTATCATTGTTATCATTGGTGGTAGCAGTAGTGATTTGTGTTATACCTTAGTTACTAAACTGTTCTTATCTCAACCTGTGGGAGTTGCATTCTTTTCGATTCTCCTCTCCGTCCCTCCGGGAGTAGGGGGAGGGAAAGAAGGGGGGGGGGGGGGGTGTGAGTGAACGAGTTACCTGACTGGGTTTAAACCACGACATCATACTACTTCCATGCAGAGCCTAATTTAGAAAGGGACAGTCTATGCATGAGACCCTATAGCACTGCTGCAACAATAATTCTGTGCTAAATTTTATATTTTTCATAAACTGAAAAATGATGGTTTTGGTTTCCACACAGAGGAAAACAATTGCTCTAGTATGTGTTTTGGAGCTGAGAAATGAGTAGTTATGACATGCAACAGGGCTGCAGCCTTCCGCAAGTACATCTGCCTACACTTTAGATGCCACATCTACTCCAGTGCTAAATCTCATCTTCATCCTTGGAGAATCAGATTCACTGCAATGAGTAGTACAAGATATTGATATTATTATCATTACAGGAAACAGTTAATCTCAAAGAAGACATTTGTTTCTTTACATGGGCAGCTGTGCTTCTACCTGTTTACAGAGATGTTTCCAAAAGAGACACGTACGGAGTAAACAATTTATAGCCTTAACTTCCATTAACTGTGGGAAAGAGTGACACCAAGCGGTTACTTTTAATGGTGCATACATTTCTTTTTGCAACAGGTAACGCTCTCTCTCAGCAGCCTCTTCATTGAAGTAATTTCGGGGCCCAGTTCCATTACTAAGGTTGGAGAAGTCAGTCACGCAATGAGATAGGTTAAGGTAAGCAACCACTGAGGTCACAGCCAGCTAATCATGTCAAGACATGCTGAAGCTCAAGCTGAGGCTGACCCACGGTTACAATGGCCCCTTGATGAGGACTGTAGCACAGCTTTGTGGCACAGGCGATGCAGACAGGGACCTTCCCCTGCTCTGGTCACGCGGGTGGGCTCCTCACGTAACGTAACGCTTCTCAGCCACTAGATGGTGCCACCAAAACGTTCACAGGAGCGTGACGTTACCTCCCCGTCCCGCACCGTGAGAGCATCTCCCTTTCATCACTAGTATCTATCCTCATTTTCCACTCCGCAGCTTCTTTTGTTCCTGGTCCAGCCGAATTCCTATGCAGGTTGGTCCCAACCATCGTTCCTGTAAAGCTCTGAATAAGGCCACCTTTATGCACCAACTACAGTGAAACCGACCTCTGATGGGCTTTCCAGCTGATCAGAGAGAGGTCTAGCGTCCATGATGGCCCCTTTCCCAGCCATCCAAGGAGATGCGGATTCTCTCTGTGGGGATGGGTATCCGAAGCAGGTGAACCCATGCGCCATTCTTCTTCATAGCTGTGCTTGTCTCCTCTCACTGAGGACTTCGGTTTTGCATTGCACTGCATCCATCATGTAAGATGCTTCACTGCAGCGGAACTTTAGTGACTCTGTTCCATTTACATTTTAGGGTCAACTCTCACCATCTCAGTCCTGAAGTGCTTTGGACACAAGGACTGTTGATATCTGCATATCAGAAGAAATTTTCTGTTGCACATTTACAAACTGCAGTTTGAGTTCTTACGCTCAGCTCATCTCCTCTTTTGCAAAAAATCCTAAAACCTCTAGAGCATCATCTGTCTCATTATGAGACAAGGTCAAATGCACCACTTACTTCCCATAGATTAGAACTCACAGGAGGGATTACTCCACAGCAAAGTGGTGCCACCTCTCCTAATGTGTTTCGGAAAGAAGCTGTCTTTTTAAAAAAGATGCCAAGCATTCTCTCCAACAGACCCAATATGGAGTTGTAATAAAGAAATCTTTCTTCCCTATAGGTTAACACACTTGTGTACTAATATTTTAATGCCTCTTTGTCAAACTATGAATGAACACAGAAAGAACAAGCCAAGCTGAAGAGTCATTTTCGGAGCACTGCCAAGCCAAAGTGACTGTATATAACTACATCTCTCGCTAAATATATAGACATCCATCCAGTAAAACCTTTTCTGCTGACTGAAGGAGCAGCTAGGAAATGGTTCCTTCTAAATGCAAAAGGCAGTGGTGACTGAAGAACAAATACTCATCCTGCTTCCTGGTCTTTCAGAAGAGAAAATTCCCAAATGACTTCCACATCATGTAGAGCTTCACTGTCCAGAGCCAGTTAATTTTTTATTATGTACTCCATCCTTTTCATTATGTACTACATCCTTTTCTTCTTGGGGACTTACTTAGTACTGCAGGATAAGAACACCAGCAGGAATTCCAGACAAAATATTAGCCTTCTTCTCACCATCCTACCCTGTAAATTTTTCTAGGAATTTAGCACCAATCAACTATGCAAACACTTCTGAGTTTGTTTGTTTGTGTTTGTTTTTTTTTTTAACTGAGGTTCATTGATTAATTCAAATTTCCTAGTGGCCCTATCTGTGGTGACAAGTTTGGTAGAGTTTATTTCAGTATTCTCTTCCTAGCAAATGCTTGTTCTTTCATCTTGGCCTAAAGAGGCAGACATTAGGAAAGCCAGATAGCAGAAAATCATTCCTTTGATTTTAAAAGGATAGACTGGATACAGGGTTACAAGCCAGACTGAAGCTCAACACTGATTCTCCCACTGTTCAAGTTACAATAGCCACATCATTTAATTGCATCTTTTCTGATAAATTGTGAATGGTTTCTGACACCAGCATCCTACTACAGTAGCCCTGTGCAGTGTCCAGTAAAAAATGAATCCTCTGCTAGATCCATGCTGAGGTCACTAGCCTAAAACTTTGAGTCTAAAATGCTCTACCTGAACAATTAATATGCACAAAATTCCCTCAGTTTTAGCACAACTGCCTATGTCAATTTTTCTTTTTAGTCTAAGGCCCCAGCTCACCTATAGGCTCTCCACCCTTACATCCCTTGAGAAACCTGTTCCTGAAGACACATTTAAAGAACCAGTAGACCACATTCTGAAAACAAAGAAGGGAGCTGTGGATGGGAATTGCCTTTCAGCTAACACCTCAGTGGTTACATCTCTTACTACACCAGGATGTGGCAGACCTGCATTCAACTCTTGCCCCTGCCTGAGGGAAACATCTTTTGTGTCTCAGCAGTGTCCTAACCATGAGGTCATGGAGTCTGGTGAGATCTTTTAGCCTCCCTTATGTATGTGAAACTGCTTTGCACAAACATCCACCCCCAGTAGGACTAAAATGTGAGTGTCCTTTCTGATGAGTTGCTTCAGACCTGGGCTATAGTAATTTTGTCCTTACCTCACATTCACCACAACATTTTCTCTCTATTAAAAAAATTTCTCCAGCTTGTGCATCTTGCTCCCAAAGGTGGCTCCCATCTGTCAATTGAGATACGTACTTTCCTGAACCCTTGATTCAGATACCTAAGCCTCTGAGAAGTACATAAAGTAAAATATTTAATAGTTTCCTAATTCTACTACATCCTACTGTAGTCTCTCAATCTGAGTCTTCACTAAGCACACTCTCTTGTAAGTTCCGCTCTCAATCACCTGTCTCTTCAGGGAGCTTTAAAGTTAGGTGAGCCTGAGTATTAATTTGTGACTTCAGTATTTAAAAAATTACAAGCTAATGTACATTTTCACCACAGAAATCACACCAAGTTACAGTATACCAGGCTTGGTCCTGACCTTACATACAGTACTAAAGATCCAAAATAATTTTATCACAATAAAACTGATGCTAACATCAGAACAAAATCAGAAGTGAAACAGTCTCATCCCACCATATGACAATGTCCAATTGCACTGGATTTTGCTTACGAACTTCCATGTATTTCGAAGTACCCAAGGCATAACATGTGAATCATTAGAACTTTGTGTGATGTTGTAAAATTTGTGAGAGAAAAATCAAGACAGATCTTCACACAGTAACAATCCTGAACTACAACAAAAGAGAAAATCAGAACAAGGAATTGCTCAGATATAACACCAAAAGGACATGCCAGACGATCCAAGTCTTAGCTCTGTTGCACATAGACTGTATTTCTGCTAAACAGAGATACAAATGTGTACAGTGCAGTGGCATTAAGCGTGTGGAATGTGAATGACAAGCTTCCCAGCTGCACGCTGGAGGCACAGCCTGCTAGAACTGGCTTAATGTAACTACAAAGTTGCATTCAAAAATCAGTGAAGGAACAACATGTATCATACTTGCAGACACTTTAATGAAGATTCATGACACTGGCTGTTTTAAAGTAGGTCATCTCAAAATGTTGAATATTGTTAGCAGACAGCAAATTAAAATTTTATAATTATTAGACTGAATAAGTCATTTTATGGGTTTTAAGTGAATTAAAAATAATAGAATTAGTTTCATTGTTCTGCTACTGTTATTTTTTAAACTTGAGGTCAGCCTGTTTCACATGGTTCTGTGGGTAGCTGGAGCCTTGTGTATATTAGAGCCAAATAAAAATTACTACAAACCCCTACAACTGTTACAAAGCAAAAGGTGGGGTGGTCTTCCGTTCAGCAGGAGGACTCCAGAATGCCACCTTCAGAATGCACTTGATGGTTCCATGAAGTGGCATATGTGCCCTTTACGTTGCTGCAGCATCACAGGATGCCAAAGAGATGAAGCTTATTATTTGTCATAAACTAGAATCTAACTGCAAACTGTTTCTGAAATAGAAGTCACAATGTGTATCACTGCTGCAAATTGCTTCTTACCTCTTTTCTACAGGCATAAATAGCAAACACTTATAACACAGTCTATCCCCTCCAAAATCTGCAATTTTTTAATAAAAGTCATTGATTGAACCAGAACAAGACATTTTAAAATGTTACTGGTCACACACATTGCAACTGTGATAGACATAAATCTATGAAGAATGTAAGGCACACTAGCAAGTTTTATAGTCTCTTACTTTCTGGGTTACTCTGTGAAATCTTCAGCTGAATATCAATTTTTTCAGGGCAATATACCAGTTTTTGTCACTCAAGGCAATTATTTCTGTGACAACAGTACACACTTAGCAGAATATATTGCTGATGAATCACTGACTGAAGAACTTGTACAGATTTTATTTATTACATCCATTCAGGTGACATAAGCACAAATGAATGTACGCTATCTTCCCTTATAAAATGCTTATGCACTGCAGTAATTCAGTTGCATTTAGCTGCAGCATCACAAGCCCTGACCTCTTCTAGGTAGGATCAGGTTTATGTCTGCATGAAAAATGGCCATCCACAGGAACTGCACTTTGGTGACATTATAAAGATTCATCTCTCAGTATGGTACCACCGAAACACAGCAAGACTCTCCACGAATGCTCATAACTCATGACCCTGAATAACAGGGAAAGGGGAAAGCAGCAAAGTTGTTAAACTTGTTATGCCCCCAGGTCCAGTAGGTTAAAAATTCACCACCTGGACTCAAGATAAAGATCCTGTGTCAGAACAGCCAGACTGCAAGAGAAGATGCAGTCCCCCATCTTTTAGTGACACAGAAGCAAGTCTCAACAGGTGGAAGCCCTTTAATTCATGGGGCTAACATTGCATCTTCCTAGTTCCAAAAATCAAGAGAAATCCCATGCAGTAAAAAAGGCAAAAAAATAATATTTTTAATACCATCTGCTAATGCCTCTATGCAACACAGCAGCTGACTAATGTTTCATTGTTTACCTAGATTAAGACTTTTATCCTATAAAGATGCTTTCACAGCACAGTGGGTGCTACTATTAACCCTTTCCCAAAATTCTGGCCCCCTCAGCTCACATCTCTTAACTAGTCCTCTCCTCAGAGAGCATCCATTTGCACTTATATAGCAAGTCTGGATCTGGGTGGCTGAACAGTGAAAGGGAGCCTCTTCCAAAGACTGTGCAGTAGAATTATTAGCAAAATAAGGGAAAAGCTTCCTCCAGCAGGAACAATGAAGTGGTGTGAAGGCTGCAGTTAAGCTATGAAATACTTTTGTCTTTATCAACATCGATACATCTTGCCTGGTGACAACTCTACCATTCTGTCTTCAATCCATGCTGTACTTAGGGTATTTATAACCAAATTCACTCCTGAAAAATGTTGATCCTACAAATCCACTCTCACAAACCCTATTTTGGGTCAGCATTCATGTTGCAGAGACACCAGGTATGCCAAGCCTGCACCAGCCCTCAGGAACAGTACGCTCTAAAAGCCTGAGAAGTAATCTAACAAACAGAAGCTGGCTGATATCAGGAGTGAAAATTCTTGCTTTGGAAATGAAGCACAGTCTAGCATTATACATGGGATAACTATGTCCGTATGTTTGGAATGTCTGGTCTTGAAACTCAGGAAGAAAGACCTTGACTCTGAGATTTGTAGGCTACACCTTCCTTTGGAAATGAATGGCCTAATGAAAAGGGTGGAGTAGAATGACACGTTTACCTCCAGGGATAGGACTGCATGTAGCACCTTGCTAGTATAGGCCATTTCAGAGTAAGAATCCAAGAGCCAAGGACAGATCATCCAACTCCATTTGGAGCTTGTCACATCACACATTCCTTTAAGTCAAAGGGTATGGGACAACTGACAGAAACACATTTCACTCTGCGGGCTGTGTAACAGCGAAAAATGAACTCTCCATGTTCCGACTACAGGCAGGATGCCTTCCCCATCCATGAAGTGGACCACACGCGTACACCCAAGCACCCTGCGCTGCCGGGTCAGGCACCTGCTGCCAGCCCACCCTTCACAGCCTTTCCTCTGCAACCAAATGGCCTCATGAGAAGTTTGACAAGTTTCTAACCCTCTTGCTGCAGACAAAGAGCTTGAAAATATGAGTTTTCACGGCTCAGGAACCAGAGGACCAGCCTGGAGCCCAGGAGCTACACCCAACGGCGCCGCCAAACCCCGTTACCGAGCACTAAGCCGGGGCTCCCCGCTGCCACCTCCAACCTGCAACCCCTCAGCCCTGCCGGGGCCGCCCTACCTGTCAGTGCGGCCCCGGGCGGATCGGCGGGGAGGGTGCGGAGGGGAGGAGGCGTCGGCCGCGCCCGCCCCGTTTCCCGCCGAGCAGGTCCGGGCCGGACCCCACCTCAGGGGGCGTTTAACGGGGGGAACCTACAGCCCCCACACAGAGCGCTCGCGCCCGCCGCGACCGTTACAGACCGTTGGCGCCGCGCGCCCCCGCGCCCACCGCCCCACGCTCAGACCCCGCTGCTCTCGGGCCGCCCCGGACGTCGCGTCGCCGGGGCGGGTGCGTAGTTCCGGCGGGGAGAAGGGAGGGGTGACATGCAGAGCGGGCAGCCGCGGCCTCGGGAGCAGCTGGAGCCGGAGCTGCCGGAGCAGCAGGCGGGAGCGGCGCGGGGGGGACAGGCCTGGCGCGGCGCCCCCACCATGGAGATCGAGAAGGAGTTCCACCGGCTCGACCAGGCCGGCAGCTGGGCCGCCATCTACCAGGTGAGGGGCAGCCCCCCGGTCCCGGTGCTGAGGGGGGAGCGCTCCTTCCCTCACCCTCCCTCTGCTGCCGCCTGGTCCTGCCCCCCTCCCATCCCCGCGGCGTTGTGCCGAGGTCCCTCAGCCTCCCCTCTCCCTGGTCGGGGCTTTCCCGTCCCCAATTCCCTCCCGCCGGGCGCTGAGGGGGCAGCGGGAGGCCCCGCTCGGTGCCCCCGCGCCGCGGAGCCCCTCTCACCTCTTTCCCCGTGGGCGGGGAGCGCCGGGCGGCTCCCCCCCGGCGGCGCTGCGGGTGCACGGGCACCCCGCGGGCAGCGCGCTCCGCTTGGCGGCGGGCGGGGACCTCCCGTACCGCGACGGGGCTGCCCGGGGGCACGGGTGAGAGCGGGGCAGCGGCCCCCGTTCTGCGGGGCGAGCCGGGGTTGTCTCTGCGGGACCCCTCAGCCCCGCTCTTTTTCTCGCTCCGGATTCCGTTTGGAGCTAAGCATGGACAGGAATTCGCAGTAACCGTTTAAAGTTGCCCGTTTCCTAACGCTAAGGGAATAAGTCTTGGTATCTTGTTTGTCGTCTTTCATTTCTGTTAGCAGTGATGGGCAGCATTGCATGCACCTAGGTTTTCAGTCACTTTAATAATAGCCGGAAGCCAGCTTGTTGGTGTTACTTGTACAGTTACCTGGTACTGGTTTTTATTATTTTGTTTACTGCATTTAGAGCTTTTTGGTGACGTTTTGAAAAACGTGTGTGGCAAACATGAACACTTGTAAGAATATTTGTTCGTTGGATCCACCTTCACACACACAAGCATGATAAATGAAGGCTTTTCCCTTTAAAAAGTTCCTTGCACATTTATCCAGAATGAAGTTTAAAAGGAGATGAAGCGCATGAATGGGTGGGCGGGTGTGTTCAGTTAGACCAGGCAGTATTACTGTAAAATCCATTTGAATGTTTAAACTGCTATATTGCGTAAACTAATTAGTTTTAAGTTCATATTTGCAACATAGAGGTTAGGCTTTGCTTCCCTTTCGCTATGGATTTCTCTGGCAATACACATTTAAGAGAAGGAGTGGACTTTTCTAAAAGTGAAATAGATGAACTCCAGTTTCAGAATCACGGCAGGCAAGCTTTAAATGTAGTAATTTGCAAGATGAACACTTCTAGTTGTTTGGCTATTAGAGAATAAGCATAAAATCTTGAGCATGCTTTTCAGAAGGTCATTTTTTTGTTAGAGTATTTAATTTCCTGCGGAGTTTCAGGGCTTGCTAACTGTATCAGTTGAAAGTCATGTGCATATATGACGTTATGTTTTTGCTAAACCATTCTTGATGATTTGGTATGTTGCAGGCTTAGTGCTCAGGAAATGATTTTGAGTAATATATCTCTGTCATGGAGGTGGTGTATTTCTGTGGGTGCAATTTAATTACAGAAGTGAAACGTATAAAGAGAACGAGGGACTGTGGAATATTTTCAATGCAGGATCAGCATTCAGTGATATTTTTGTCCCACTATCTTTGAATGATGTGACTCAGTAGCCGGCTCAGACTGTGGCACAGCATGAGGTTTGATTGAGGACTAAAACTCAACTCAAAAATTAAAGTGTTTCTTTGATTTGCATCCAACTATTGACAAGCAGAAGAGGTGGAGCTTTTTTTTTTTTTTTAAAGATTGATCAGTGTATGCATTGATGTCATGTAACTCCTCTTCTCAACAGCATCTTTTAAATATCAGATGTTGAAAATGACATTTTGCCGATCGTGTACATCTGGAAGAACGACGTACTTCGCTATAATCCATGCTTTTGATTTCTGGGCTGTGACATTAGCAATGCAGTTGTCCTAAAAATACCAATCCTTTTAGGTATTTTTAGGCCTGAAGAATGGAGTAAGTAGAATAATATATGTTGTTGGTGCAGAAAAAAGTCATCTTCCAAGTTAACTGTACCACGGGCTTCTTGTATCTGGGTGTTATGATTGTAACTGCTAAAATTCAGAAATGTTCATCAGCATTGCATGTGAAACATAATGCAATTTACTAACAGGCGCCTCCTCTTGTTTCTTGGCTAAATCTATAATCTAGAGATACAGAACTGCACAGCATCTAGGGGAGGAATAATGAATGCTGCAGGGAGGGGAAGCTGATCGGAAGGATGGCTACATGGGTGCCATGTGACTTTGAAGGATTAAAATTGTCCAGGCTTCTTTTTTTCTGGACAAGGGAAAGCTGTGTTCAGCTATGAGAATAGTACAGTTGTGCAAGAATAACATTTGGATTATTTTCTTAAACCTTAAATAATCACAGGACAGAGACAAAAGCATTTCAAAATGAAGACCTTGTGTAGGTGATCTTGTGACAATCATGTCTTGGGCACTGCACGTGTAGTGCAACTGTTCTCTGCCACAGGGTGAACACTGTTGAAACGCTCCATGTTTTGTTGGTTTTTGGTTTTTTAAATACCTAGTGCTGTTCCTTCCTTTCATCTAGATTTAATTGCTACATGAACTACGAGATCCTGTTGAGGGTGTTCAGAGACCCAGTAGATAAAAAGGACTGGTCTGGTTCTGTCCATGGCTTTTGTTGTAGAGAAACATGCTTAGAAGATAACTGGTAAAATAAGACCTGATCTTAGCATACGAACAAACTTAAAGGAAAATGGACAGCAGATTATATGTGAGCTTTGCAGTGTGATAACCAAGGTGAAGGTATGCAATAGAAAACAAATGCTTAAGGGTAAGTGAATAATAGCACCCTGCATAAATATAATTAGAGGTATCAATAGGAATGAAAAACATTCACTCTGGAGATGTGACAACAAAGAAGCAATAGCCCAGAGCTAAGAGAAGCACAGTTTAGGCTTGCTTTTAGAGCAGGGGAGAAAAAGATACAGATATTTGTCCAGAATGTCAAAGCAACAATGGATTTTCATTTGCTACAGTGACTGCAATATCAGATTTTCATGGTAATTTTGTATGCAGAAGGTTTTCAGAATTTTAGGAGGTATTTTAGTTTCTAACTTCTTATACAGGGTGATAGAATGAGATACCTTAAAAACACAAGCCTCAAATACAGGTAGAGTTGCTTCTTGTGTTTATATAAGCTGGTTATGTTGACTTTAGTATGTTGGCCAGTGATATAACTTTGATGTGCTTATCAGTAACAGTAAAGATACCTCTGAATTATTCTCTGATCTACCATTCAACTGGGATCCCATACAACATAGATGGAGGCAGAGCTGACTCTTGGTTTTACAGAAACATCTATGGGGACAGCTCATGCAGAGAAGGTAGCAAATTAAACTGCACTGTTCTCTAATTGTTTTTTTTAGTCAGTAGAACACAAAATAAGAACAAACTGGATGTAGTCTAGATTTTCAAATATGTTTGGAGGCGAGTGTACTGAAAACAGAACTAACTGTACTGCTGCCTGTGCTCTGGAAAGTTGAAGTGCAGTTACAGTTTGGTTTGAGGCCTGCAGGAGACACGCAGCTGTTCTCAGTTTCTTTATTATTTTTTGAGGATATTTTAAACTAATATTAATGTGAGTTACTTTATTTTCCTCCAACCTCTCTAAGCTAAACTAAAATACAACAAATTATGAAAGTTAATAGGCTTTACGTACATTATGGAAGATAAAAATCTATCGTGGATGTTTCAGACATCTCTGTTGAGAGAAAAGGCATGGAAAGGGTTTTTTTCAATGTATTCACTGTCTCTGGAAAAATATTTGTAGAATATGTATATAGATTTTAATGATTAAAGTAAACTGTGAATTGGTTGACCCCGTAGACCGGGTAGTGGTGTGGTTGTGTTGTGTATTTAAAGTAAATGAACAGGAAGTTCTACTGTGTTTTCACTTTATAAGCTTCAGTGAGAGTTAAGGCTTTGCACTGCTGCAGTCTCTAAGCATTTGGGTTACTCTTTTGCTCTGGTGCTAAAAAAGTTTAAACTTCTTTGCAGCAGATAAATTGTGGCATGAGCATGACTTATTATAAATGCATCTTTGTACTTTATTCTGCCAGTTCTTGCTACTTGAAAATGCAGGTCTCTGCATGCAAGCCTCACCACTTCTTAATTCATGCTATGTTGATTCATTCGAGGCTTAGCTTAATTGGCTCTGGTTATGGAAAGCTAGTTTAGAACTGACAGTTGCAAGGAGTCTCTTTTTTTGACTTCAGTACAGCTAAAGATACTCCATGTTTTCCAGTGCTATGCAGCCCCTGAATCTTGATACAAATGTGGGAGAGGCTCCAGTGATGGAATAGCTTAGTCTCTGTGGCTTGCAAAGCCAGTAACTGTGACAAAATCAGACTTTGCCTTCATTTGCAAGTGATGGTATGTTCTGTGATATTGAGAATGTTTCAGGGCACTCAGCTGCATTGGTTAGTTATGCTGCTAACTTTTTCAGATCAAGACCAATTGTGTCTACTGATGGCAAATGCAAGATTGAGCAAGTTCCATTATATAGAGCTTTAGAGCTGCTTAGTTTTACTTGGTTTTCAGAGTTTAAAATCTAAGTACTTGAATCCAGATCTTCTGTGATAGCATTGCTGTAAGTAGAACATTGAAAAGTAGAGCCTCTTATGGCTTACTGTTAAGGTGATAGAATTTGCTAAAAATGTAGAAATTGTACAATGTGCAGACAGTACTACACCTG